CAATATTTTATTTAGCTTAGTGAAGAGATAATATCATTTGAATTCATAAAATAAAGGAACATATACTTCTTTATTCAAATGTAAATCATTAATTATTTAAAATAATATTTACTAGATTGTTTGAAAGAGGCTTCTCAACGTTGTTCCTTGGAGCCCATTGAGCTTGAGTGTTAGCTAAAGATATTATGTTGTCAAGAGGTCCATCAAATTTTATAAAAATTAAAATGCTTTTAATAAACCCTAATTTCAAGTATGATATTCTACACCCTTTAATCTAGGGTTTTGAACAACCATCTGTCACAAAAGACCTGGAGACGATGAATATCATTCGCTTTAGATTCCACAATATAAGGATCTGGATTAGGTATGCAATCAGTCCATGCTTTTGGTCCTTCTTCATAGTCCTAAGTAGAATAGATAATGGTCGCGTTCTCCCTAGGCACAGCATCACAGTATATACGAGTGATTATCAGTTTGTTAGTGGAACCTTGTGGGACTCATCTATACCTGCTAGCAAAATGAAATGTTGAAAATAAAAGTTTTTATGTAAGTGTGTCTAAACATCTGACAACATCAATCCTTAGCAACTAAATTTGCAAATAATTATAGTTAAATCTATTAAACAACCATATGAAATGCCCCAATCTTCAGTAATTATTTTTAAAAAATAAAAATGAAAGGAAAAAAACTTTAAGAGAGACAGAGGGCTTATGGAATAGACTTTGTTCAAATAAGATCTTAACCTTCATTTCTCCTTGTCATATTGTACAAATACTTATTTTACTCGATGTAACAATTAATCTAAAACTCTGAAGTTCCTCCTCTTGATTTAATTTAATGGTCACTTCACCAACTATGTTATCTCCTTATAAGTTACATATCAATTTAACATGGGTTTGTCTTTGGTAACTAATGACCATTTCTATTCAAGAGAGAAGGGACTACTTGTGTATAAAAAAAAAAAAAAAAAATTCTCAGTAACTGAAAATCTCTCCAAAAAAAAATTTTTACTGCAATTTCTCTTGGACTCGAAGTCTTCATGACACTGGACAAGGCCACTGATTTGTTTGTTTCTCTCTTGCCCTAAAGATGACTGTACAAATGTACACAAATGGAAATCAATTTGTAAAATACAAAAATTAAGCCAATTAAGATATTTGAACAAACCATTCCCGGAAGAAAAGACAGTATAGAGAAAGGAAAATTTTGAGGAAAAGAAAACGAGGAAGAAATTGTAAATGTCTTTAATCAAGGTAGATTTGTCGACAGATAAAATCTTGAACTTCATGCAGCTTTGAGTTTCAGAAAAAAGCACCAGCAGAATTTTGTTGCCATCACCAAAAAACAGCATAGCTCGAAGGCTGTAGTTGAAGGCAACATCTTTTTTTCTATCTAGAACTAACCAGTTTTCTCTGGGACAACTGGTCCCCAAGAAGATCCTCGTTTTTAACCATAGCTTTCCTTGCAAGCTCATACCCTGCAAAGTTCATCGCACCTAGCGGAGCAATCCAGAAAAACCTTGGCACTGCTCCCTTGAATAAGCCAAGAGGTCCCTCATGGCGAAGTATGGAGAAAGCTACCATCGACATTGATACAGGTCGGCCCTGTGGAGCAGTCATCATCCTAGTTTTCATAACATCAAAAGGTGTGGTTATAACAGCTGCTAGCCCTCCAGACAAAGCTCCAACCACAATTGTTTCCCACGGCTCCAGTTCCCGACCTAGAAGTTTCTGGGCAACCTAGAAACACCACATGCAAACCCATAAAATTATTATTATCAATCAATTTAGTAGAACCATGAACGTTAATTGAGAATAGATAATAAATTAACTGAATTGTTGTTGGGGAAACAACACATTTGATGTATTAGCAATAATTTCAATAATCTAGAAGCTGTTAAACCAATTTCAGCCAGGTTTATACCACAGTTCAAGAGTGGAACTCAAAGGGGATATTTTCTCTTTTTCATCAGATTAGGGTAAATGAATATATAGAAACCCGTACTATCTATCTACTTAAGAGAAGTTACTCTTGGCCTTTTCTATGAAAAATTATCTTTTACTTCTCTTACAGGATTAACGAGTCACCCTGTTCTTGTATTTATGTAATTCTATTAGATGCATCTCCTTTCTTAATAATGCACAAATTCTATTTCACTGATCAATTTATGAAGTTCAGAAATGCAAATCATAGGGAAAAAAACACCGCATAACTGAGATTTATCAGGAGAATGAAATCCCTTTTTATATGTTGTAATGATCAATACATGTGGAAGGGATGGGAGTGACAACAGAGAGAAACTAAAACTGGCACCTGCATCAATGCACTCAAAATTTTTTGCAAGTTGGAGTAATATATTGTAAGTCTTGTTCTAGAGAAAATTGATTACCTTCTTAGATTCGGCATAGAGCCCCATGCCAGCAACATAAAATGGAACCTCACGGCAAAGCGTCGCTCCAGTCCCACGGAAGAAACCCTTTAAGCCATCTTGATGCCAGGTGCCAACAATAGCCTCCTGAACATTGTCAAAAATACCAGCCTGCAACCTCTGCTTGAGTACCTCACATGGAATCCGTACTGCTGTCCCCAAAAATGTGCTGCATAATGATGCTAAAGATTGAACCTACATGAAATGCACTTGCACATAAGATTTCATAGTACTCTAAGGTCAGATTGAAACCTAAGAAACGCCAGAAGGAAAACAAAAGGACTAAAAGAGGAGTCAAGTTGTGGATTTAAAGTTAGAACTTCGAACTTTTGCCAATGGTGTTGGATAAAAAAGCACTCAGAGCCTAGAATTCTCAAGTGTTACACCTCCATATCTTTTTTGCATTCTCTAAGTGGCAACCCTAATATCCATATCAATTATTTATTCCAGAATTTTTGGAAGGTGAAAGTTCCCACTAAGGTTGGAGTTTTGCTTGGACCGATGTTCTGAAAAGGATAATACCAAATTATGTTCTCCAAAATTGGATACTGCCTAGAGCTCTTTCTCCAGTCATTAGTTTGATGTGTTTCCATGGTTTGTAGAACAGTTGTCACATTTATCTCCATTTTTTTCTAGTTTGGATATAGAACTTATTATTTTATTTAGTTGTGGTTTAATGGGTGCATCTCCCTAGTGTGGAGATTTATCTCTACTACCTTGTGGGGTATAGGGACAACAAAGGAGAATAAGGTGTTGCTATGAGGGATTATTTTAGCTGGTTTTTGGGTTCTTTAGTTGGAAGGGTTGCAAGAATCTTCAAGCATCAACTACAACCGCATCAGAGGGCTTGGGACAGTATAACTTACTAAGTGAAACTATGCTTCACTTTGTGTTGAAGCCCACAGTTTCTTTTCAGGGTGCATAGAAACTGAATCTCTATTTGTCTAAAGAATTTTTATTTTTTGTTTTTGTATTCCTTGATTCATTTTCTTTTGTTTGAGGATACCTTAGGTAATCTTAACTCCGTGTGTGTGTGTAGCTGTGCAGCTCCTAGAGAGAAAGCACTCAGGACTCAGTGTGAGGTAAAAATCAAATCTAATGTGATAATAAATGAGGACAAGATTTGTGACAAGCAGGAGACCCATGTGACAACAGAAGGATAAAAACGATCATGCAATAATGTGCTTCCAGGACACATTAGGAAGTACTCCCGAACAGAAAGTGACCACGAAGGATCTATACAGAACCAGGGCAACAAAGAAAGTGAACAGGGACCTCGAAGGAATTAAACCAACATTGAGACAATCTAGAAGAAGAAGAAATATAAGAGGCGACTTAAAACGAGGAAGTTATTGAGCAACACAGCTAAGGAGAGGCTTGGCCCAAGGATTCCACCCCAAAAGCAAGCCCAAAACACCATTTGGGTATGGTACTGATTGGATACACGTGTGGGCACACACATGTGTGAGCCAGAGTACCCGCACATGCAGAAAGAACGCCCACGCAAGAGAGCATGCAGAATGCACGAGACAGCCGCACCCATGCGCAGCAAGATCGCGCATACACACACACATGCATCAACCACATGTGCACAGAAAGAGACGAATGCCGATCAGGCTAGTCACATGTCTCAAGAGCGCACATGTGTGTGCATGCCCAGCCAGCCCTGCGCTGGGGCGCACATGCACGAGAAACCCTGCCTCATGCAGCAGACGCATGCCATCTGCAGACGCGCATGCCAAATGCACGTGGACAACCTGTCTGCATCCTTTGAGTCCGATTTGGACTCCTTTTGCTTTTCCTTTTTGCTTTCTAATTCCATTGCAGATTCCTAATTAAACTCCAAGCAATTTCAGCAAAAAAAAGAGCAAGGAGAGGATCGGCCAAGAGAGAATAAGAGTTTTAGTGAAATTTAAATTAGCATATTTTATTAATTTCCTTTGAATTTTATATTAGGATTCTTTTATTTAATTAATTTCCAGCAAGAGTCCTAGTTAAATTAGTGTTTAAGACTTCAAGTAGGAATACGTAATCCTACTACGAGTCAGATTAGACAATAAAGATCTATATAAGGACCTTAATCCTTAAGTTGTAATCGCAATTCAAGAATTCCTAAAATTAATGAAGTGTCAAGTTTTTCCTTGCTTTCTTAAAATTAGTTTTACAATTTTGTGAGTGTTCTTCAAGTTCTTCAAACTAGTAAACTTTCAGAAATCTTGTTGAGTTAGGGAATCAGGATTGACTTATTGGGTAAGTTGTGGTGTCCTTCCTTTTTCGTTTAATTTTTCAATTATCTAGATTATTGTATTCCATATTGGTGAGTGTAGTTTCAAGTAAGGCGAGTGAATTAGGTGGTTAAAATATTCTGATCATACATGGTGTGGGTTCTGGGAGTATTATGATCCTTCCAAATCCGTACTGCGTCAAAATCCCTAACCGAAATGAAAATCTTAGGATTTCTTTACCACTTCATAAGCATTCCTTAGAACTCGATGCAAAGTGTCCTAGATTAATTAAAGGAGATTTGAGAGAAAGATACAATTAGGAGAAATCAAACAGGCCGTAGAATGCTAACATTAAACGTGCATTTTGTTCATATTTGCTGTAGGCTAAACAGAAAAGAAAGCCAGAATTCTAATCCCCATTTTGAAGTAATTTGCAGCCATGTTCAGGTAAGAATTGGGTAGTTTCATTTGCAGACCTTCATATTTTATAAAATTGTTTATGTATTTAAAAATGTATATTTAAAAATTCTACATATTATTTCATGTTTTGTTTTGGTATATTTTTCTGAAAAATTAGCATTTGAATGTGGACTGTGTGAATGGTTTTCTGTGAATTATATACTGATATACGAATGTATAACTAAATGTTGAATTATATATATGTATGTTAGTCATTGTGGATGTGCAAATATGCGTGTGTATGTGTGAATAATCGTATCGGTATATGTATAAATGGTGAACAATTACGTATAAATTAGGATATATGCATCAGTATGTGTGAGTGTATAACTTGTATACTATATGTATAGAATTCAACTGTGAAATTGTGTGTATGTGTACAGATGGGTGACTGTGTGGAGTATATTGTATGAAATGCATGTAAGTAAATTGCTAAGTGTGTGTGGTAGGTACTGTGTAGGTTGTGTGATTTGTGTTGTTCTGTGTGTTGTATTGTGGGAATACGCAAGATAAGTTGTATCTATATGAATATATGTATTATGTAAGGGAATATGGTGTTTGAACATATGTCAATACATATGAGAGTCGGTATATATGTAAGTATATATGTAAATGAATTTAGTGTATTGGTTGTATGTATATGTGCATAAATTAGGTGTAAAATGTATATGCTACTAAACTGTGCAGTATATGCGTGGGAATGTGTGTATGTTTGTTAGTTGGAGTTAGAGGAAGCAAGCGTTTTAAGTTG